CCTGATGGAGCAACCACACCTGGATATAAACACAGGCTTCCTAGAACTGATGAGTGGCTGCTGATCCAAGGATCTGGAGTAGTCTGCTGCCTCCATAAAGGACTTGGAGAACATGCAGAAGGGGGTCTGAGCACAGACTCCAGCTTGCAGAGATCTAGCAAGTGGACAAAGGGCTTTTGGACCAAGCAGATCCTTTCTGGTTTTCCCTGCACCAGGAGAGCTTACCTGTATTCCAGAAATTTCACTAAACCTAGAAAGGAAAGGAAACAGGTGATTAGCACAGAGCACTTTTGGACACTCACAAGCATTTGTAATAAGGAAAATATGCCTGTGAGTATGTAAAAAACAGTTTTTCAGTCTGATGGCTATATGGATTTAGCTCAAATAAGCCTGAAGTATAGGGCATGAGCCATATACCTCTGAGGCTTAAAAATCGTAATATGTTCAGAACAGAACATGACTGATCCCAGTAAAGAGTAGCTAGATTACAGTCAGGGGTCGTTTCATAGAAAATGAGCTAGGGGAACTCATTAGCATAACTCATTAGCATATGCCACACCCCCTGACATCACCGGAAGTGTGTCATAAGGCCACACCCCTGACATCACCGGAAGTGTGTCATAAGGCCACACACCCTGCCCCCAACGGTCCCGGCTGCCGCCGCCAGCCTTACAGCTCCACTGCCGAGCCCTATGAGGGGCCCAGTGGTGGACCTGCAAGGCCGGCGGGAGTGCAAGGAAGCCCCGCAAAGGCCCTCCCTGGCCCCAGGCAGGCAGGGGTGGGGAGAGGCAGGGAGGAAGCAACTTACCCTCCCTCTTCTCCTGCCTCCTCCTGGCTGAATGAGGGCCGGAAGCGGGGCGGCCGGAAGCAGGGGGCGGGGCTTAGTCATGTGCCCCGCCCCCTGTACCTCACCCGGGGGAACTGTGATCCCCTGCGATCCCCCCCGAAATGACCTCTGCTTACAGTGCTTTTCTTCCATCATGACATCCAGTACAGCCTATCTAGAATTCCCAGAAGGTCTCCCATCTAAGCACAGACCAGATCCAGAAGGCTTCTGAAGAAGGTTTGAAAATAATAACAAAATATGGTATTTCAGGTGGATGTAGTTTTATTTATGCATTTATTAGGTTTTTATATCCCTGCATATTACATAATAAAAATATTTCACTTACTGCATAATACCCACAATAAAATAACATCCTGGAATTAAAATGACAACCCTTGAATAATTCTGTAAGTTCAGACTAATACTGCCACTTAGCTACATGTCTCATCCTTATGCTATAGAATGCTATTCCCTCAGATGTCTCTCTGTTTCCCAATTATTGGCCTCTGTCTGGGGAGGGCTGAAGATCATAATCTTCGATTGCAATTTTAATGTTGAAAATCAGGACTGATCAAGGATTTAAAAATTTTAGTCTCCTTTTCTGGATATTTGTTGTAAGGTTTGATCTAGATATAAACTTGTTCTTAAGGAACTGTGAGCTCCTTCTTAATATGGTGATTATCAGACCACTAACCTTCTGATAAGAGACACAACCAGCAATGCATCTAGTATATTGTGGATACTGTACATAAGGAAATGCTATTAGAGAATCTTTGTCTCAATTTCATCCTTTGTTAAGCCATAACTATAACACTTTTAATGCTGACTGACTTAAAATGATGTAAATAATTATAACATAAAAAGAGCTTTACATGAGACCAATATTTCTTACCCAAAAGTAGGTAGATTCACAAGGCAAGGAGCCTCATTAATAGAGCTAATCATCCATTCAGAACTCTCATATTCATGTTTTCTTTGAAGCATCTGTAATAATATTTAGAAACTAGCAACCCATTTAATAAAATTCACATTCCTGTGCAGTTAAGTTTCTGATGGAACAAAATTTGAGTCCAGTGGCACCTTTAAGACCAACAAAGTTTAATTCTGGGTATAAGCTTTTGTGTGCATGCAACACTTGATGAAGTGTGCATACACACGAAGGCTTATACCCAGAATTAAACTTTGTTGGTCTTAAAGGTGCTACTGGACTCAAACTTAGTTCTATCGCTTCAGACCAACACAGCTACCCAAGTGAATCTAAGTATCTGATAGACTTCAAACACATTACAAGGTTTAGCTGTACCTATATATACACTAAAATTATATATATGGTACATTCTTGTTTGTTTTAATCACAGAACAAGTATTAGAAATAGCAATATCTGTTGGCCCCTAACGAATACACCACATTTGACCTGTGTCTTCTGCACCATCCTTGGCTAAGCCATTCTCACAATTCTCAGAAATTCTTTGCACCTGGGCCAAAGATACAACTACATATTTCTTATATATGCTAATATGAAGCAGGCTACCTCTAAACTATCCCAAGGTAATCCTCTTCTGAAATTCTTTTATTCTTTGTCCTCCACCGAGACTATTCTGTTCTGGGGTTCCTTTATTTTTTAGCATGTCCAAATATCTGCTAGAGAAACCAGGGTCCCGGTCACACCGGCAGGAAAAGCCGCATCGGAAGTGCGGCTTCTTAGAGCCGCACCAAAGGAAAGCGCGGCATCGGGATCAGAAGCTTCCCCCGAGCCGCTGCACATATTCTGTCCAGTGCGATCACATGGCTGGGGGAAGCGAGGTAAAGATGGGTGAGCCAAGGTTGCTGGAGTATTCGTGTGCATGCGCAGTCCGGCAGTCGCGCATGCACAGTCCGGCAGTCCCTCAAATAACACGGGCTGCCAGTGCGTCCGCAATCCCATGCCCGGCCTTGCTGCGGATCTTCCGGTAGGTACTACATTTCCCCTTGCCAGATGTTGGCATCTGATCGCGCTTGTTTGATGCGCCCTCAACCCGTCTGCTTCGCGGGGCGAATCCTCCCGTGTGACCGGGGCCCAGATGAATTTTTCTTCTAACCTGCAAAGGTGGCCTCTAAACTTTGCCAGGTCTGTGACACTTAGACCTCTATATTTTATGTGTAAGACTTCTTTAAATGACCCTGTCAAGGAGTCCAAGCCTGAACCCCATGGGTTGCCAGGGCTAGTACACACAAGAAAACAGTTCTTAAAGACCCAAAAAGTCAAAGGCCATGGCTTAAGCATTCTCTCTGTAGCCGTCCATTGCAATGTGAGCATATCATAGTCCAGGCCTCAGTCTATCAGAATCAGAAAGTTAACCTTTTTCTCTTTGGCTCTTAGCTCATTTATAGTCTCAAGCCAACTGGCATTAGGTGATGGTGACAATCCAATCAGGACATGTTCTCACTGGAACCCTCTAGAAGGTTACGCCATTGCGCCTACTTCCCCCCTCCCATTCTGTGGGCCACAGGCTCCCAAAGAGAGCTAATTATCACTTTCTTGACTCTGGCCTTGAAGATGATAATGGCCATGTAGGCAGAGAAGTCCAATTATTAATACCTGCAAGATGGAATAGGCCTGTTAGTATTCACATTAACCTTTGGGTGGAATCAGGGGTGTTTTGCCTCATTGGGTTTGCAAGTTTTACTGTACTGGTGATTTCCAGAGGCGGTAAAATGCTTCGAAAACTGCAATAAATAGGTGGCATCAAAATCTAGTAAAACAAAAAAGCTGGATACTCCAAATAATAATTTCTCAATTTCTTCTATATAGTAAATATGATTCAGTTGTAAATTCCTCTTAAGGTCAGCGACATGGGATGTTGGAAATCATGACTTTTAATTTGGCCCTATAAGCAGTCATCATGAGCTGGCTTTTTGCCCCTGGACTGTTTTCCTGGTTGAAAAATGCCTGTCCTGGAGACCTTTAAACCCCAGCAGAGTTGGGGAGGGGGTTAGGGTTAGGCATAATTTGAGCAGTTGTCTTTTCCCACCTGCTTAAAGCATCCTGGGGAAATTTTTGGTCAAGAAAATAATATGCAGGATTGTTAGCCCTCCCAAGTGCTGCAGCCCCAATCCATATTGGTATCACCCCACCCAAGTAGCTGCTTCTTAGAGCCAAACTACATGTCCACTGTGTGATACAGAGTGTCGGACTGGATGGGCCTTTGGCCTGATCCAACATTGGCATCTCTTATGTTCTTATGTCTGGAGCTTGGATCATAGAGCTGCAACCTCACCAGTACAGTCTTAAATTTATCTATCATCTATCTATCTATCTATCTATCTATCTATCTATCTATCTATTACTTTTGATTTATATCCCACCTTGCCAGCGGAAGCTGGCTCAAGGTGGCGTACAACAAGTTAAAACACAATAAAACACCAATGCATAGATGCAATACTATAAAATTTCATGTAAACAAACAATGTACATAAAAGTGCAAGTAAGTGCAGATGGCGATTGCTATAAGATGGTCCGATGTAGGAAGGCCAATATCCAAAGTTGTTCCTAATGCCAGTAACATGAGGGCCGAACCTGTCCAGTTCATAGCTCATTCGTCAGTGACGGCTCCTAATCGAAGGCCTGGTGGAAGAGCTCTGTTTTACAGGCCCTGTGGAACTGTAAGAGGTCCAGCAGTGCCCTGAAGTCTTCAGGGAGCTCGTTCCACCAGTTTGGAGCCGCCATTGAGAAGGCCCTAGCTCTGGTGATGGCCAATCTGGTGTCTTTCAGACTAGGGAGAGTCAGGCGATTTGCGACCCTGACCTCAGTGCTCTCTGGGAGACATATGGGAAAGGTAGGCAGGCCCCCAACCATATAGGGCTTTAGGTTGATGGGTCCAGAAGGGTGTAACTCTGTTTAGGATTACAGGTAGTTTGCCCCTTTATTATCTTCAAGGCTTGTCACTTTGGCGTCTGACTTTTTCTTTCCTTCCACTTTTCCATCAGAGGACAAATGCCATCCTTTGGTTCCTAATGCACATAATGTGTATTTGTAATTTGTTGGTATGGTTCATGGTGTATTTTAAAAAGTTATTGAAATAATCAATGTTTAATCATCTAGTGACCAACAAAACTATTATATACACTCTTGATTATTAAAGGTATTTATTTTATTTATTGAATTTTACTAATGGTCATACTAATATTTTCCAGATGCAGAACCAAGATACTTGATTGCAGTGAGGCCAGCACCTGTTCCAAATTACAGGAAATCGTGCTCAGGTAATAAACAGCCAGAAGGAGAAACAAACATTTTTCAGTTGATATGACAGATGATATGGGCAATAAATAACTATTTTTTAAAATGATAGTAATATTTCAGCAATTTCTGTTTGTTTGGTATGCCATAATTTTCCTCAAGCTTTAAGGCTTAATATAGCAGCAATTTCTGTTTGTTTGGTATGCCATAATTTCCCTCAAGCATTAAAACACATATTTTATGTCCGCATTCAAACTAACTCTGCATTTCAGGTTCAATAAATGGCTGACTCTAGCCCCATTCATATGTTATAGTGAATACATGTACATCCTGTATATACATGCATACTTCTGTTTTGTAAGAAAGAGCAACAGATATTCACTTTATAAATGAAACTGGGAACAAGTACCTGGATAAATATTAGGTTTAAATCACATGTTCAGCTGTACATGCATTGAATGTAACACTGCATGTTTAAAGAAAAATCAAGTGTACACTATAGCTTGCAGGGAAGGACGGCCTAGCAAATCCAATTTAATGAATAAATAATGCACAGATTGTACATGCATTTGCTGTAACTTGAGAACAGGGCTGGTAGAGGAGAAAAGTGTACCAGCTAATTGTTATGATATTACAGGTCATTTACAAACATTTTAATGACTCAAGGAAGAGAATTTCTTCCTGTGAAAGAACTAAAACATAATTATGGATCAAGAAAACAATCAAACATTGAAACACCAGGAATTTGAGAGGAAGGTCAAATTTGATAAACTTAGACTGTGGTCATACTGGAGGCTTGGCATGATTTGGCTGCACCTCTGTTTGCAAAAAGTTTTGATTAGACATCCCACCTTGAACCAGCTTTACTGTGTGTTCACCCCATGGTCCATCATTCAAATTGTTGCAGCATTCTCCCCCCCCCCTTTTTGTCTTTCACCCATGCGTATAAGCGTGTATCCAAAGCTCCAGCTCTTTTTTACAACTCCACAGTCTCTCTACCAAGTACTCCAGCCTCTCTCAGCCTCCTTCTCTTTGCCCTTCTTCCGTGGAATACATGGAGGGAGGGGTAAAGTGCAGATTTACATGACAGTAGTCCCATTTACTTCAGTGCATTAACCCTTGTGTCGATCTTGGGATGTCCTCAGACTTTGATGCAGAAACAGGAGAGAGGGGTTGTGGGGGGTTGTCACTTGAATACAACTCTCCCAGGACTCCCAATCCAGAATAACTACTTGGCCGAGATGATTGACAATGCCAGGAGTGACTAAGTGCTTATAAGAATATAGCTAGCTGATTATTATTATTATTATTTTTTAAAAAGGATGTGGAAATGGAAGGGAAGGTTCAGACTTCCCAAACAGCTTGACTTCGCAAGAAGGGATTTCAGACAGCCAGAAATGTGGAGTGGAAGTGCTGGCATCCCTAAATACTGGACTTTCCCCAGTGCCCGATTACTCTGCTTCCAAAGCAAGGCAAAGCAGGGTGCCGATGACTGGGGTACAGAAGGCAGATGTTGTCTGGTTGTGCTCTTTAAATCCACAAAGGTGACACAACTATATCAGCGTGAACTGCTCGTGTTACTGCAGCTTTAGTGGGAAGCTAACGGGCAAGGAACGAAAAGTCAAGGTGGCTGAAGTAAGAATAGGTTGTTGGCTGAAAATCAGGACCTTTGATGATTGATGAAAAACAGGTTAATGACAATGAAAAACATCATGGAAATTAAGGACAGGAGGTTGTTTATGGTTTATCAAAAAAGTGGGGGGAAAGGGGGACAAAGTCAAGAGGCAGTGTAATATAATGAATGTGGAGTTGTCAGATCAGACTACAACTGAGCTTTTTAGTGGTAGCAGCTCACCTTTTAAATGCTCCCCCCTTGAGGTTCAATTGGCACCTTATTCCTTTAGGCATCAGGACAAAGCATTTCTTTTTACACACACTTTTCATTGAAGGTCCACCTTTTTACCTGTCTCTATGCTCTGCTTCTAACCTGAGGGACTGTCTTATGAACATGATTTAAAGCTGCTGAATATTGTTTTATGCTGTTTTTATGACCTAGCTGTTGTTATGATCTGATTATATATATATATATACAGGGGTCATTTCGTAGAAAAAGAGCTAGGGGAACTCATTAGCATAACTCATTAGCATATGCCACACCCCCTGACATCAGGGGCCCGGCGGTGGACCTGCAAGGCCAGCGGGAGTGCAAGGAGGCCACTCCAAGGCCCTCTCTGGCCCCAGGCAGGCAGGGGTGGGGAGAGGCGGGGAGGAAGCAACTTACCCTCCCTCTTCTCCTGCCTCCTCCTGGCTGAATGAGGGCTGGAAGCGGGGCGGCCGGAAGCAGGGGTCAGGGCTTCGTCATGTGCCCCGCCCCCCTACACCTCACCCGGGGGAACTGCGTTCCCCCGCGTTCCCCCCGAAAAGACCTGTGTGTGTGTGTGTGTGTGTGTGTATATATATATATGCGCGCTATGGTTATGGTTTTATTTTGCCATTTTTTTTGCAATATGCCTCAAGCAGGTCTCTGGAGAGGAGGCATATGGGTTTTTTAATGAATAAATTTTGCAAAGGAAGTGGAATAATGTGAAGATAATCACACAGAAGTTCAAGAAAGGTGTGGTGCAAGGACAGACAAACTCAAGTTTCAGTTTAACACTAAAAAACCTTCAGCCCACATAAGTGGGATGAAGTATAGAAACAAACAGTATTGAGTTCCTAGTGAGTCACAACTCATGGCTAGTGGGCTGTATTTGCCTTGATAAGTCACATATGCATGAGATAGGTATGTTGCAAGTTTTGTTTGAGATATATCTTCTATTATAAAGAAAATCTGATGTACATGGAATTTTCTGTACCTTTTGTCTACAGGTCAGACGAAGACTCCAAAGCCCCTGCAGTTAGTAATAGGCACTTTAACTCCGACTTCTGTCTTCTTATCTTGGGGAGTCTTAGTCAACCCAAAGCATGATTGGACCACAATGAATAACTGTGCAAATGACAGGTAAACAACTCAATGGTTACATGTTGTAAAGATCATGGAATGCCGTTCTGCTGATAAAAAAATCAAACAGCACAAGAATTATTAAGTATGATCAGTTTTTACAGTTGGGGCCAACACTAGATTTGAAACCACTTATCTCATTTCATGTTTTGTTTTTGTGAGTGCCACATAGTGTCTCTATTTTTCAGCAATGCTGGCACTTGTTAAAAGCAACTTTGTGCTGTTCCAATACTGTTCATTTCTTTATCCATTTTCCTTCTTCTGCTTTTTCTTCCCTGTCCTCAGCCCTGTTTGCCCACAATGCTGTTCAATCCTATTGGCTATGGTAACCCATGCAATTTGGTTGATGATGTTTCTGACATAATGACAAATGCTCATAAACAAAAAAAAACTATGCAGATTATTATTGCCAAATGGATCAAACAGCATTGTGAACAAATGAAGCCAAGGTTTCTGAATGCAAATAAGAAAAATGGTACTTGAGAAGCTACAGAAGCTAAGGGAACAAAAGGAAAAACTGCAATGAAAGAGCACAAATGTTGGACAAGAGGACTATTTTTCAGTATTTTTATCAAGTACATCAGAAGCGCTACCTTGCGACTTCCGGTTTTGGTGATCTAATGGTGGACATATCTCTTGGGAGCTTCCGAGGATGCAATCCGTGAGCCGGTGGATAAGAGGGGGTGCAATTGTATGCGCCCCCCCGAGGCCCTTGCGAAGGGCTCCTAGTCATGGGGCGCTAAGGATCACCTCTCCCCTGGCACGCTGCCAGTGGATTGAGGCGTTCCGATGCCCCGAAGGTCTCACCGCTGTGTTCCAGTACTGGACTCAGAGACGCACATCGGGACAAGCGAGTGGGGGTCGAGCATTTTACACATTTTGATGGCAGGATCTGCCTGATCAACATTGAGAGTGAGTTTAGTTGAAACGAGAACCAGAGAAATGGCTGAAAGTCCCTCTTAAAGTAAGCGAGGGGGAGCGGGAACCCCCTCTGAGGAAACAAAAATGGACTTAAAGCATGCTTTTTAAAGGGGGTGGAACTGAAAGCAAAATGGGACTATAAAAAAGTAAAGGTTCCCTTGCTCAAAAGCTAGTCGAGTCCGACTCCGTTTCAAAGCCGAAGAGCCAGCACTGTGCGAAGACATTTCCGTGGTCATGTGGCCAGCATGACTAAAACCAAGGTGCACGGAATGCTGTTACCTTGCCACCGAAGTGGTACCTATTTATCTACTTGCAATTTCTTGCTTTCGAACTGCTAGTTTGGCAGGAGTTGGAACTAGAGACAGGGGCTCACTCCGTCATGCAGCAACTTGGGTCTCGAACTGCTGAACTACTGACCTTCCACTGCCTGCAGTTCAGCATCTTAATGACTTGAGCCACCGCAGCTCCTTAAATGGGACTATAGTAAGGAATTTACAGGAGAATTACAGGCGATTTGCAGACTTCAGAGACTTTGGGCAAACTTTGTTAAATGTAAACATCCTCAAAGATGTCACAGAAGAAGACGGAGAAAGATAAGCAAATAAAACTTAAGCTTCTTCCAGGAAGTGCTAGCTCAGCGAGTGCGGTCATGCGACCGGAAACAACCATAGACTAACAGAAGCATTGCAATCCCTGCTGGAGCAAATGAAGACACTTAATCAAAACTTCGCTGCACAGCAACAGCAACTAGATGAGACTTTTTTTAAAAAAAAGAGCAAACAGCTGAGAATCTCAAAGAAGTGAATGCCAACACCAAAAAGCTTGACAAGCAAATGCAGGAGATGGAGAAGAAGAGAAATTCTGATGAAGCCCAGCTTTTACAGCTTCAAATGGAAAAGACAAGCTTTATACTGAAATTTTGACTGATGCTTTCGAACCGGTTGCAGATTTTAAAGCAGATTTTCTTCAAAGCCAAATGGATGTGATCTACAGGTCATATTCAAAATACATAAAGAAAAATAATCTGCCCAGCAAGGTTGTGGTAAAATTCTCCAGAAGATATGTGAGGGATCAGATTCTAAAAGCAACAAATGGAACTACCCTTAAAATTGATGGCAAGGAGATAAGAATTTTGAAAGACATCCCCTTTGAAATAAGGGGAAAAAGGAAAAAGATACAGAGACTTGGCTTTGTTTCTACAAGAGAACAACATATCCTACAAATGGATTTTACCCGAATGTATACTCTTCAAATTTAAAGATAAAAGGGAAAAAATTGACTCTGTTATGAAAGCAAGAGAGTTTCTGCAACAACAATTGGATCCAACAGGAAAAGAAGATGAGAAGAGCAACAAGGAGAGTGAAGATGAAACACTTACTGGAGAAGATTCGGATTTGCAACGTGGGGTGGCTGCCCCCAAGCAAGGATATTGATTGAGGGAAAGAAGAGGCAAATGAGATGCTAATTTTCTCTGAAGTTTGACTTTTGATTCTTATTATATAAAGGTTCTTGTATATTGTTCTTTACTAAGTCAGAATATCTGGACTTGAATTTCTTAAGTGACTTTAACGATCACTTTCAACGTAATAAGTTACTCATTTTCTTTACTTACAGCTACTTTATTGTAACCATTGTATGACCACCACCTCTTGCGTTTTTAATGGTTTGTCTTTACTTTCTCCCGTAGTTTATAGTTTCCCTTTCCCTATTTTCTTGCAGTTTTTAGAAAATAAAAAAGAAGTGCTACCTTGCAAGAGAGTATTAAAACCAGAGAATATTCACACACTCAGTTTCAATGTTATTCTTTCTGTCTTTGATGTCCCCTTTCTCAAAGATTCTGTTTAATTTATATCTGAATGTGTGTGATCTTTGCCTCAGCTATTGATATATGCATTATGCAGCTCACTATGCATGCTTGCATTTATATTGCTGTTTCAACATAGATGTTTTGTGGCTCTTGAAAGTCTGATTTTGATTTTTATCTCATTTGCTTCAGGGTAAATCAAGAAAAACTAGTCAATTAAAATATGTAATTGGCATAGTTTGTGAGAACTTTTTATGTGTTTTGATGTTGTTTTTGCCTGGAGGCTAATCAGCTACTAAAATTATGCAGTAACATCAAAACAAAGTTTTAGTTATTAAATTTTATTGCATTTGTTCTCTGGGAAAGTGAAGCCATATGTTTAAGGTGGGAATGTCTAGAGAGAACAGGTAGTCAAATGACATTTATATTAAGCATACCAGCAAGTGACTTTAAACAAATCTCATTTTGAAGGAGCAGAGTTCTTGAAGGCTGTTGTGTTGTGCAATAGTTTAGATTAAAAATCCCTGTTTCAAAACTCACCACTCATGAATTTACCAAGTGCATGATTTTGGGTAGTGGAGGAGCAAACAACAAACACCCAGTTCAATCTGGTTGAAGATTTTTTTATTAACAGTAACTGTTAACTGGTAATTTGGCTATTGGAATAAGGAATAACAATACTCAAGTAAGCTGTTTCTAGAGTTCTAGGCCTGTACACAACACATGCTACTTTCTTTCAGACCAGCAATACTGGGATAACGTTATTGATGAATTTAACATGGTCATGGTAAGACACTGAGATTGCCATGTATGTCTCAAAGCTCACACTTTTAGCCACTCTACTAGCATAGTAAAAAAGAAAACAATTACTATTGGGTATTAGTTATGAAATATTTTATGCCAGCCATCTGCTGAGAGCCATATGCCAGAGGAGTCACTAGACTTGATCAAGTGAAGCCAGTAAATCAATAGCTGTCATCCCATTGGACTGTGTTAGGCCATCATTAAATGATAGTGTGACTTCCTTTGCATCGTTGGCTTCATATTCTTTATAGATATATACAACTCATACCACAGTGATGGCCATTTTATATTTCAGTTATTTAAAGATGGCCACATTCCAGCCATCCTCGTTAGCAAAAACAAAAGCACAGGAGCAAGAGGCGTTTAGCTAAAATAACAATTTGTTGGATTTAGTTTATATACTTTGGATTTCATTCATATACAGTTATACATATACATTATGTTTGGCTTCTTCTACTTTTTTCACACACACACACACACACACTCCGTGAAATGGGCTACCAATGAGTTGAGGCAGGCAGTAAAAGACACAGGACTTAGCAAATTCCAAGGGACCATTAATATGAGGCTTGGATACTCTTACTTTATTTACAGTCCATGACCAGAAAACAAGTTTAAAAATAACCATAACCTAATCAAATGTAAACATTAGGGCATACAATATAAAAATGTATAAAAATAAGTTATAACTAGTGCTAATACAAATACAGCGATTTCTAAGCTAACTACATAAAAATATACATATAAAACAAAATACAATCAACTACTGTCTTCCACATTAACTTGGGAAATATATATAAAACACAGTTTAATTGCTTGGGAACAGAATTTAGCAACTTTCTGGGTGATCAGAAGTTACTTTTTAATTGATGATTATTGTACTGGTTTAACCTGGTCTGGGACTGAATTCCAATTGCTTTCTCTACCTCCTTTTCTTCACACCCTAGCTGAATAGGTGTTTTTGGTATCCACAACAGAGTTACATCTCCTGTGCATTTCATGGACCTTTAACTAGAGACATGCATAAGAAAAAGCAATTAATTCTATAGCAGAAAACTGTGAAGATCATGAGTGTTGTTTTAGTAAAATCTTGGGTGTATTGTTATCATTCTGGAAAGTAGTTCTAGAAGTATAGAACAATACTCAAGATATTTTATTAAGACTAATGATGCCCTTCCCAATTCCCCCATGCAAGATTAAAACAGGGGAAGGAGGGAGAGAAAGGAAGGATCACAAACCGATCAGTAGCACATGAGCTGTTTAAATTTTAAAGGGCCAGTTATTTCCTATGGGGTAGACCTGCCCTTGGGATTCTAGAGACCAGGTCCACTGTATAGGAACTCATAGCCCTTTTACAAAGGTTAGGTTTTTCAATGGAGGTTGACCTGGCCTCTCCATTGAAAAAAATGATCATTTAAAGATTAAAGGACAGATGTGCCACTGACCACATGGGGAGTGCTGCCTCCTCCATAGCCACTCCTGTGTCCCCAACAGAATTCCCAGTTCCAATATTATCAGGAATGGTAATACCAGAATTGGGAATTGTAGGCAGGGGTAGTATTGGATATTGCCAATCTGATCTAGTACCCAAAATATTGGGCATTGTATTGCGTTGGCTATATCCAGCTTTCCCCCATAATCTCTCTTTCAACATCTCTTTCTCTTTTTTCATAATATTTCTCTCTTTCTCTCTCTCATTCACATACACACACAAAAAGGTTCAAGTGCAAGAAATTTTTTGCAAGAATAAAAACTAATTTAGGTGCCACAAGGCACACATTATTTTTATTTGAGAATGCCCTTTCTCTCTTCTACCCTCCTGACAGGGTAGATGACAGACAGTGTCAACCTAAAATGGTCTACTCAGCATCCTTCTCAGGTCTATTTAATGAGGCTTACTCCCAGGAAGCTGTTCTTTGGATGGCACTGAGAAATTGTGAACAATTTAGAGTGCATGCTGTTTTATGCTCCTTTAAATCACAAAGTGAATGCCAAAAGGATTATTGTTTAGATCAATAACAGAATTAGATTTTTGCATCAAGAAAACCTAGGATTGCTGCAGTAAATTTCAGTTCAATTTTTTGCTTGAAGCTCAAAAACACACAGTCACATGAAGCTGCCTTATACTGAATTAGGCCTTTGGTCCATCAAGGCCAGCATTGTCTACTCAGACTGGCAGTAGCTCTCCAGGGTCTCAGGCAGAGGTCTCTCACATCACCTTTTAATGATGCCAGGGATCGAACCTGGAACCTTCTGCCTGCCAACCAGATGCTCTAACCATTGAGCCATGGCCAAAATGTCATCTATTATCTCATTATGTGAACCTTAAATTGAAAGTAATGTTTTATTTGAAATGTTTTTGGCCTTTCTTTTCCTCAAAATATACACTTGCTTTTATACAGATTTTATACAGTTCGCTACAGAGAGAAGGATAAGAACAAGAAGTGGATTCTTCAGCTTTGCCCTACTACAGAAACAGTGGTGGACAACTTGAAACCCAATACAGTTTATGAATTTGGAGTGAAAGACAATACAGACAATGGGATCTGGAGTAAGATTTTCAGTCACAACACAGTTGGGTCTTGTAAGTAATTGTAACGATTCCTAACTTTCTTTTTTAAGATAAGCTGTTAAAGGAGATCAAGTTGTTCGCATGTTATGCAGTCAATATGTGCACTTGGCATGTAAGGAATCAGTACAAGCTCTGGTTGTTGCCCACAAATCTGACATCACAGCATCCCCCAAAGTCACAAAGCTACTCTGCTATTCCCAGTGAACCACTGTTTACACTCAGAGAGATTTGAGAACTTATTGACTCTAGTTACAGCTATGATGGTGTATAGTGCTGGATTTGGACTGTGGGGAGCCAGAACAAATCCCTGCTCAGCCTGTTGGTCTAAAATATTTTACTGAGCTGGGAGAGAAAAATCAACAAACTCATGTATATTTCCCTGATAAACTTGGATGAAAGATGAGAAGCAACTATAATAAATATGTAAGTATATGAAGGAAGTAAGCAAAGGAACAACATTTGGAATGCATTAATTTTTTTTCTGGTTTGTTCGGAAACATCAGAGACCAAAAACACTGAAAGTTTGTCTATGCAACCTTTTTATCAGTACAGATTCATGAATATGGATCATGCATCTTATCTCCACAGTCTCTGAACTGTATATAGTTATAGTGGTATAGTACTATAATATTTATTTATTTACAAGTTTGGCTTATAAACTGCCCTCCCCTGTGAAACAAGGCTTAGGGCACATACATTCATGTAAATTAAAAACGGTTAGAACAGTAACAATAAGCAAATAAACAATATAACAATATCAGATGATCCTGAAATAAATCCATTTTTCTCTACCCGGTGGGGAGGGAAGCAAGAAAAAGTGGGGGCCAGGCAGGGTGGAAAGCCATTGCTATCCTCAGCCATAGGCCTGGTGGAACATCTCTGCCTTACAGGCCCTGCGCAACTGCATTAGATCCCGCAGGGCACGGATGTCATTAGGCAGAGGGTACCACCAGGCTGGGGTCAGAGCCGGAAAAGCTTTTCTTTTTTTAATACTGAAACACTTCACTAGTTTGAACGTGCTAAATTTCCCCAGTAGGCTACATGATGAGAAATAAGATTATGCTCACATGCTGTTTACTGCTGTGGCCAGGTTATGTTTTTGCTTCCTGTGTACATTCAGCCCAGGATTCTAAATTGAAGTTTAGTCATAGTTTGTAGGATAGAATTCACAAGGGGAGAAAGCAGGAGGAAAGGGACAAGTCTGAGGATTCCCGTGATTTCATTTCCTTAGCAACAAACCATAGTTTGTTGTTGCATCTGAATGATGACCGTACAGGTTCAGCATTAATTACAAATGGTAAGCATATATCACATATAATAAATTCACCCCATTGTGATTTAATCTCTACATACTAAATGTATATAAAAATATATGCAGTACCCAACAGAACACATTGGAAATTGTAGTCATTCAAAACATTTGCAATTCTTTGTATTGCCAAAATGCTTATACTTTAAACATAAAATCCATCACATTGACTAGTATAGTTCCTCACACCTGAAGGCCCTGTGAGGCCCTCTGTCTGGTACTGTTCTGCAACCAGAGCATCTGGGCTGTCCGGCACTGCCCCCTTTTGTAAAACTGGAAGATTCCTTCTTCCTTATTCACCTGAACGAGTAAAGCTCTCTGGGGAATGTTTGTCTGACCATTCACTTCATAAATCTTGGCTGTTATGATTACTTTGTTTTATTTATGGCACACAAAGATTTTTTCTTCATTCTCAATTGTAAGAAGTGAAATATTTGGCATATATTATGGAAAATGTACATGCTATTTGTGGAATGTTTCCCAGTCATGGAATAAAACAGGAAGTCCGTATGCATGCAAAGTTCTGAAATGTAGCTTATCTTATGTAATAAACGTTTAACCCAGGCTTTGGATAGATTACAATATCTTGCATAAAGTCAGACTGAAATGGATTTGTGACAAAAACTAAACTAAAGCAGATCTGTGGTATCTCCAGTGTGCAGGGGTCGTTTCGTAGAAAAAGAGCTAGGGGAACTCATTAGCATAACTCATTAGCATATGCCACACCCCCTGACATCACCGGAAGTGTGTCATAAGGCCACAGCCATCACTCAGTCTTAGTCTTAAAGGTTAGTCTTAAAGGTGCTATTTGTTAGTCTTAAAGGTGCTATTTGAACTCTTGGACTATTTTGCAGCAACAGACTAACACAGCTAATTCCTCTGAATCTAAACCCACCACTCAGGCTCCACCCCCAAAATCTCCAAGGTATTGCCAACTCAGAGCTGGCGAGCCTATCTGATGGCACATGTGGGGGAAAACAAGCAAACCACCCATGTCAGGTAAAAAGGATAGAAGTTCAACACAATTTTATCTATTTTCAGTAACTGGTTTGTTGAGAGAAAAGCAACAACAAGCACATCAGTGAAGACCTAGTACCAGAGTGCCAAAAAGGAAAGCTGTTTCTTTGGTTATACTTGCTCCTGGACACCAGCAGCCCTCTAGAGGACTGGCCCATTGGGAAAAGAAGGGGAGGGGACAGAACTAACTGTAGCCTATCGGCTGGAGGTCTGGTACTGCCCTCAACCATAGGTCCGGCAGAACAACTCTGTTTTGCTGGCCCTGCAGAATTGTACCAGATCCTGCAGGGCTCTGATCTCTCCTGGAAGAGTGTTCCAACAGGCTAGTGCCTGGCCCTGGTCAAGGACAGCTGGATGCTCTTTGGGATGTGGACACCAGTAGATTTTGACCACTTGAGAGTAATGCTCTATGGAGGATGTACCAGGACAGGCGGTCCTGGAGATATGCTGGTCCCTGACCATTAAGGGCTTTAAAGGTCAGCACCAGAATCTTGAGCCTGATCTGGCCCTCGTTCTGGAGCCAGTGCAGCTGATAAAGCACTAGTTGAATATGAATTCTAAAGGGCGTTCCTGACAGAACCCTCACAGCTGTGTTCTGGACCAGCTGCATTTTCCAGATCAACCTCAAGGGAAGCCCTACATAGAGGAAGTTACAGTAATCTAGCCTAGAGGTGATCCATACAATGTAGGGCTTCCCTTGAGGGTGATCCGGCTAAAACAGGTACAGGGTCAACTGTTTAACCTGGAGAAGATGGTAAAACACCAGCTTAACGACCTTAGTGACTTGGGCCTCCATTGAAAGGGGGGCATCCTCCCAAAACCTTGATGGATGGTGCAGCTGTCAGTGGCACCCCGTCAAGAGAGGGGAGTTGGCAACCCATCCCAGCCCCCAGACCCAGCCACGGGATCTCCGTCTTAACTGGATTTAGTTTCAGCCTCTAGCCAGCTGCTCAGCAGCATACTGGTGACAACCCAGCCGATGATCCCATGCCAGTAGGGCAAGGGGTGCATAAAGATGTTAAATAACATTGGGAGAGGATAGCCCCATGAGGGATTCCACACATCGTGGTAAAACCCTCTCCCCTAGTACCACCCTCTGTCTATGATCTTGGAGAAAGGAGGTAAACCAACTACCCCATCTTGAGGCAGACGTCTCCAGGGCCTAGTCTCTAAAGCTGGGCTCCTGTGTTTGGCTATAGGGAGCACTCTTCTTATCCCTCCTAGGGATCCTCCTCCTTAAGTCCTCATGGGTCCACCCACTTGTTGAATGTGTTAGATTTTTTGCCATATAAAACTTAAAAAGAAGAAAAAAGGCAGAAAAATTAATTCAAACAGTTTGATAGCTCACAGCCATAAATACTGAGACAGAGTTTGAAGAGACCAATTTAAATTTGAAAATGGTTGTTTTTCCTATGGTAAAGAAAATGTTATAATTTTGGCATCATATTTATCTTTTTTTGGCAGATAAAAACAAAGAAAATGGGTATCTCCAGAATAACTACAAATTGCCTAAGATCCAAACACAGGTACGCTACTGAGCTAGTTTCTACCTCCTAGTATGGCTTATGTACTACTAATAAATGAAATGTGCTGGATCTGGTGGTGTTCTTCTATTTTAAAAAAACCCATGAAATTGGGTAACATGCACACATTGTACTGTATTTCTCGTTCCTCAGAATAAAAAGGGTATTCTTTATGATTATTTCAGATGACGATTTCAGATGCTTTTTAGATGATGAATATCAAATATATACAAGATAGCTGGCAGATTACAATATAGGTCCGAAAACAATATTTTGAGAGATGAGCATCTCAGTTCATAATTGTTTTGTTTTTGAATATTTGATATACTGTTCTCTCTAAGGCGAAATTTCTTGTGTAGTGTAAAATCTGTATTTTAATATTGATTGGTAGAGTTTGAGAGAAATCGTTATATATCAGATATCAACCCCTATGTTGCTTTATTTCTGTCAAATATTTTTACCATTTCAGATCCATTTTTAATTGTTTTAATATGTGTGTTTTGAGGGTGTTGGTTCTAAATGGTTTTTAAATGTGGTTTTATTATATATATATTAATTTGTTAACTGCCTTGGTTGCCCTTGTGAGACCAGAAAGGTAGGATATAAACTCTGTAAATAAATAATGGAAAAAACCAAGACAAGAAGGATTAATGACTTTCACTTCACCTGTTTCTAAAGGAGCACAGTTGTTAACTGGCTTCACTTGGTGGATGGTTATTGTGTTTGGCACTGAAAAGACCCTAGTACTTTCTGGGGCAATATTTCATGCTCTGTGACTTGAATCCAATACCCATTTAGGTTAGCGGTAAGATTTTGCCCTGCTTTTCTGTTTTAAGCAAATGATATGTAGAATATGCCTTGTAAGAAATTCTCCTTATATATTTATCTTAAACTTTTAAATGCTGCTTCTCCAATGAGCTGCTCAAGACAGCTTTCAGCCCAAAGCATTTGTCAAAACTATCATTATTTTATGCATCATTGACAGCTTGATAATAGAAGTACTAGGCTTGTGATTAAGATGTAGGATTCCAAATGTATGTTGGTGGACATTTCAGGATTTACTGTGGATCTTGTCATTCCTGTAATTGGACATTTGTTGATGGTTAAAAGTTACTCCTAAGAACATTTTCCTGAAAGTAAACCTCACCGAGTAGATTTCATTAAGATTCTGAGTAGTTCTGCTTAGGATTGCACTGTAAATCACTTTTAAATCAAAATGTGAATTCTGATTGTGGTTTTAGAAGTTCAGTGAAATGGTTAGCTAACGGCTTTCCATGGCGTGGGGCTGGCAGTGCAAGGTCATGCATTCCACCTTGGTTTCTGTTCCTTGTGATTCCCGGTGCTATCTCATTATTACTCAGTAAAACTGCTAATCTTGGATCCCCAATTATTGTGTACATACATGATTTAGAAGTCAGACCTTTGCTTAATTAAATACTTTCTTTGGGGCCATTTCCAAGAAGAGCTTAATTGGGAAACATAGGCATGAAACAAACATAATTAGTATAACAGGCCAAAATGGCCTTAATATAATAATGTATAGCTTAACATAATCAAATTTTAATTACTAGCTATTAAATCAATTCTTGTGGTATATCTTGACAAAGCAGAAGACAATGGATGGGCCACCATTACAACTTCTCCCTAGGCCAACTGGGTCAAATTTTATAATGTGGAAAAATGCCCACAAATACATCTGGAGAATCTTGGAACAGCCAGTAACCATCCATCTGTGATGGAACACAGGCACCCTGACCACATTCTCTTTCCCCTGGTGTGGGATGGTTTTGCACAAAGTTCTGTGAAGCTATAGTTGCTTAACAAGTTGTCAAATTGTGACTCCAACTATATGAAGCATTTCTATCCTCTGGTTCTATCCTGTGGAGATTAGTATGCACTAAGAACACCAAAGAGTCCTGAGGCATCTTGAACATTAAAATATATGTTGTTCCATATATAATGAGTTTTCAGGACTTTGCTTCACTAAATGAAACCTCTGTAACGGTTGCTTCAATAGTGTAGCTGATAACTGCATTAACATAACCTTTTCATGCAGTATGTTTGTAAGCAGCTGCCATCCACAAATGTTCATATGAAATCACTTAAATAAATGGGAGGGGGACTTTGAACAGAGATAATGCAGTAACCACTAAACTAGCCCCTAAGCTGCAAAGGGATTCCCCTTTATATCGTATGGGTTCCCAGTTATTTTGCTCTGTCATGGGTTAGGGAAATGTTAGGGGCATGAATCATCCTTTTTATTAAAACCAGATGCTGAAGTCTTGCTGACTGCAGTGATAGATTTAGTTAATTTATAATATGCTAGTAAATAAAGTTGCTTGCATTCTGCATTCATGGGTGGATACACATTTCTGAGTCCTATTGCAAATGACTCCTCCCTCCAATCCACACCTGATACTGTGACGAACCCCTGTATCTCCCCAAATGTCTGGCAGATTTTTCCCACCAAATCTTCAGTCCCCCTCAGTGCACTGAGTTGCCCTATAATAGCGCGTATATATTCTTTGTCATAAAAGACTTGACTGTCCCACCCTCAGTTTAGATATTTAGTTTAGGCTTTTTCTCAGCTTCAGGAACTCTACTGAAAATACAGGAGCTGCCCAGTTTTTTAAATCCTTGAGAAATGGCATGAGGCAAATTAACTTTCAAAAACAGAATTAAAAAATTATTAAACAGGCAGAGAATATATGTATAATAGCATTAGTCAAAGTTTTGAGACTGCTGAGGTAAAAAACTTTCTAATATGTACAGAGTTGAATTTTTAGAACATTCAAGAGAGTGTATTTGTAGTTTTGATTCAGGGCTTTCTTTGAGAGGTACTTTGGTATTATTCAGCAGTAACACAGATCTTATTGATGTATCTGGATTTCTTCCTTCAGATATTACAGGTTTTCCTTTAGATAGTATTATCTTTTCAGTTTGGTGTAGTCAGTTTGGTGTCGTGGTTAAGTGCGTGGACTCTAATCTGGGAGAACCAGGTTTGATTCCCCACTCCTCCACTTGCACCTGGCTGGATGATCTTGGGCAAGTCATAATTCTGGCACAGCTGTTCTTGGAAAAAGAGCAGTTACTGTCAGAGTTCTCTCAGCCCCACCTACCTCACAGGGTGTCTGTTGTGGAGAGGGGAAGGGAAAGGAGTTTGTAAGCCGCTCTGATACTCCTTTGGGTAGTGAAAGGCGGGGTATAAATCCAATCTCCTCCTCCTCCTCCTTCATTAATTCCTGTGGTGTCTAAGCTTCTCTTCTTTTCTCACAGACCAGGGTTCTCTTCCTAACCCCTTTCACTGGCAGGAAGTTATTCTCTTTGTCCCTAAGAAGCAATAACTCCCTTTTACTATTTGGCTTGTATGTGAATTCTCTCTAACTACCCGGACCTTCTGCCAAATCCTTTTCCAGTATCCTTTGTCTGTATAAGGCTGTTCTGTAGCTTTTCTGACTAAAATTCTTCCTCAGAGCAGTTTTAATATATTTAGACAATGGTGTTTCTCTTCTGATCCAATCTAATTTATTGCAGCAAGAGCCAGTAAAACAGTACAAGGGGTTTCTCTTCTTTTCTCTGTAGAAGTACTTTTCTGACTATTGCCTGTCAGAAACCACTGACTCCCAAATGTCTCTTCCCTCAGAAGCCAAACTCTTGGGCTACTGATTCAGACATTAGAAAGACCAAATAGTGAAAGACCAAATTGTGAAAGATCTCTTTTCCCTCTAAATCAGCTGTTTTATTTCGTCTCTCAGTGGCTGCAACCGCTGCTGGGACTGCAGCTAGGTGGGGGGGCACTGCAGATTCAATAGGGGGTGCTGCCCTCAGTGCCCTACCACTGGCTACGGCCCTGGATACAGCTAGAATGTGAGTCCATCTGTCCTATATATTGGAAAGTGGAGTGATTTCAGATGCCAATTGACATTAGCAGGCAATTGACAATAGAAGGTGTGGTTGGGTTACTTGTGATAGGCAGACAGATAGTACGTATGGAGAAATCAGCATTGGTAGTGAGACAGGAAATCTAGGCCTTGATTCAATCCAGGTGAATGCATTGTCTTAACTCAAGACAATTCATCCATTTGGATTGAATCGAAACCTAGGTTTCCTGTTTCATTACCAATGCTGATTCCTCCACGCCTACTACCTCTCTGCATATCAGACCTAATATCCTTCTAATGTCACTTGGTATCTGAAATCCCCCCACTTTCTAATATATAGGACAGATGGACTCACATTCTAGCTGTATCTGAAGAAGTAAGCAGTGACTCATGAAAGCTCATACCCTACCACAAATTTTGTTAGTCTTTAAGGTGCACTGGATTCTTACCTTTTCTCTGGTTTTGAGGTAGAGATGAACCATTTCCATTTCTTTTCACAGTGGAAACCACCATTTTTAAAAGAAAGAGAACAAATTAGTTATCATATTGTTCCAAACGCACAGTTGGCTTATTTCATGGGGAATCTAAATATTTCATGCAATGAATCTTTTACAGAAACTCATAAATTGTTATTTATATGTAATATTATTCTACATACAAATTTCTTACCCTTGCAAGCTAGGCATAGGGCTCTAGGAAAGCAGCAAAAAAAAAAAAAGTCTGCTTCATGAACTGTTTCTTTTCTTCCCCCCCCCCCTCTCTAATAAGCCAGAAACAAGGATTAGGGTGGATAAAAATACTGTCAAAATATATCCCACTTCCATTTGAATCTGATGCAACAGTTTTATAATGTCAAGCTGCAAGGTGGAGTCCTGACCAAGAGGGCAGAAGGTTTTAGTTTCTGACATTTGTTTATCTCCAGAAGAAAACAAGATCCCCCCCCAATATCTGTCCAGTTAAGTGAAGTCCAGCATTACAGAAAGAGACTTGATGTATTTTAAACGGCTTTATGTTAATTTGCATGTTATTTTGGGCACTCTTCAAAGAATCGGGGGGGGGGGGAAGGGAAAGGATATGCCAAAAAACGATGGCTCTTACAGAGTCTTTTATGTATTTGCCAAA